TTCATCTGGGCCACCACTGTGAGTTTCTACCACTTTTAGTAATTCTAACCTTAGTGAGTTTCTTTATTTATTTTATTTTTTTTTTAACACTTTACGAAAACTTACATGTTGAGTTGTAAATGTACATCCTGATGAAGGACATGATTTCATATCTGGTGATCTTTTGTCTGTGAACTATTTGGAAGCATCTCAGAAAAATCTTTTGTAAATGCCACGCATGTGAATTTACATTTGAATCATTTTAATGTTTATATTGAGCAGGTTACGTGCCAGAAAATACTAAACTGTCTCTGGTTTTGTTATTTTTGTTGATTACTCTTGTTATGAGTGCTAATACGATTAAAATATTGGCTAAAACATGCATGTTGTAACTGAATCATGTTGAATTGCACCATAATTTAAAAAGTGCTCAATCTAAGTAGAGGTTTCAGAGGAAAGAGGAGATGACCTGGTGCAATCATATCTAGGAGACTTTTGACAGAGTACTGTCATTTCCCATCAGCTTAAACTGAACAGCTTTCTGCACAGGAGCAAAGGAAGGTATCAGTTTCCCCTGGGTCAAACTTACTTACTTAAACCCAAGTTTAAATTTTTTTTCTCTGTTTAGTTACTCTCAACCCTTTAAATTGCTGTTTTTTTTTTTTTTAAGTTTTTGTTCTGTTATAATAGTGAAACAATGTTACTTAAACTGTTGGGGAGGGGGTTCTTTTTTACAATTAGAAATCTCAGGGAGCCAGTAGTAGAGTGAGGTGGATCCTATCACTCTTTGTTTGGAAGTTGCAAATTGCTACTGAGATACAGTTCATGCAGACTCATCCAGGATAAAATAATATATTGAGTAGAAGAATAAAACAATTTGATAGTGACTGACAGATAAAACAGCCAAAAAAGATGAAGGGAAAAAGGATTCAAGGCATAGAAGTCTTTATTGAGCAGGAAGAAGCGGTGATTGTCATGTGGTACTTTGCTCCCTTGGTGTCAGATTTGAGATGAAAGAGATTGCAGACTAGAATGTCTGGGCTGCCTTCTATGCAATAGGAAAAATTTTCAAATACATTTTGCATGTGAATTTCCCACCCTGCATATATTGGGGTTCTATATTACTGGACATCCACTCTTTAAAAGTTTTGACACAGATAAAGGTTTAAACCTATTTGTTCTATGTAGTTTTATTAAAACCTTAAACTGTATGGAACAGTAAGAATAATAAGTGGAGTTAAGTGAAGAAGGAAAAGAAAACGTAGAGACTGTGGAAATTCTGTCAATCATGTTTTGGGTGTATCTTCCACTTTGGACTTACAAGTGTGCTGCTTCTCCAAAAGGCTTATTATTTACTGGTCTTACATCAGAATGGCAAAAAGAAGCATTGATTAGATAGAAGTTCTTCTAGGATTAGGTAGAAGTTAGTCTTCGTTCTTTTATACTGGAATCTTTGACCAAACATTACAGAGGAATACGTATTATGCTTTGTTGCAAACCTCCCTAATCTGTCATGGTGCAGTGACACCTTGGAATGTTCAATGTAAGTTCTGAAGGAGAAGAAAAAGTTGATTTTAATCAACTTTAATTTTTTGTCGTAGGGGTTTATAATAGTCTTTCTGGGAAGTTTTGTTTTCGAAACAAGTTCTGTTTTTGTGATATCTGCAGTTACAAGTGTCTGTTGAAGTAGGCGTCAATAAATCTGCCTAATTTCTAACTCTTGTCCATTTTCAGATCGTCCTTTGAAGATTGATGTATGTTTACTTCAGTGCTTTAAATTTGTTAACAGTTTGGGTAAGGATGGCTCAGCTCCAGCAAGGAGGCCCAGATGAAAAAGAAAAGACTACTGCATTAAAGGGTATGAGTCTTTTTGCCTTCTTTTTACATATCTGAGACATTTCAGAATCAATTATTAAAATTAAGGAATGGAAAATAGTTAGATATAAATACTGATTAGAATCTGGCAGTTGCAATACTAAAAGAGACTAATTAGTCTTTAGCGCTTTTTGTCCAATATTGTCCATTATCAACATGGTGCTTTTGTATTCTTAGTTTCTGGGAGGTATCATTTCAGTTTTGTGCCACTTATGTTTTATATTTGTGTAATCAAATTACAGCTTTTAAAAATCTCTTTGAGCGTAGAATGTTAGTGGGAAAAATATCTTCAAGACATTGATTTCCATGTTGGTTTTCTAAAGTTTTCTGGTTTATTTTATGTTTAAAAAAAAAAATAACTAGACCTGAGTGACTTAGTAGAATCATTTTCTTTTCTTCAGGAAAAAATTAAATGAAATGACATCTTATAGGTATTATTTTTTCAAGTTTGGAAGTATGTGGAGCTGGTTAGACCTACAAGTAGGCCAACCAAACATTGAAGTTAGTGCTGCATCAGACATTTACTCTCTTAAATTGTCTTTCAGAAGGGAGAAAAAAATACACCTCTGAACACTAATGTAAAAATTGGATTTTTACAAATGTATTAGTAGAAATATGTGTTTTGTTAATATAGTGATGGTAGATGCTATTTCCTCCCTTAAAATTGTGTGTTTGTGAAAGGCTTGATGAAAATCCATGCGATTCTTTTTTCAAACATCATGTTACTAATTTTGTCAGTATATTTTCAGGAAATTACACTTCACATATGGAAAAATAGGACTCCATTTTAAGCTTGGCATTCCTTAAGGGTTAGTGCCCAAGAAATACTGCAAATAATGAAAATTTTGTGTGAGGATCTGATTATCTTCAAGTGATCTGGTGAACGCTTATTAAGCTATAGAAAGTCTTTTGCAAATCACCTGGTTTTGAGCTCTGTTGAACCTGCCTGGAACAGAGTTTGAGAGTCAAAGATCTTAGGTGAGAATGTTGGACAAGATCATGCAAGAATCTCAAAGTTATAGGAACACTTTGCATAATTTTAACTTGCAAAATTGCACAGGAAGAAAGTGTCTGGTTAGGTAGTTGAAACACAGGCCAACTGTGGTTTTATTGAGTAACTGTGATTGTAGTTGTAAAGCTAGCTTCTTATGGTGTACGTACTGAGGATAGGTTTAATACGTATTTCGTCTGGTATTGTCCCTGCTAGTCAGAAGATGGATATTTTATTATGTAGTAGCTGACACTCTTATGTAAACACGTTTCCAAATAGGTCACAGTAAGAAGACATGAAAACTGTGGTGAAATAAAATTCTAGAGGAGAAACGGCTGGAGTCTCTTTGCCAAGGAGAGAGAGCAGTGTCCAACACTGTTTTGCTACCTTGATGTTGTGACAGCAGAAAGGAAGAAAGTATATGCCGTTTATCTCCTGTTGCCAAAACCTTCTTTGACAGAGATCTTTTCTTTCATCTCTGTCATTCTATCATTTGGCTGAGGACCAAAGCAACTCCCCCAAAACTTTCAAGGGATAATACACAAGCACAGTTATAAGCTTGCTTCTATGAACTAACTGAATGTCAGGGGACTTGCTGTTAAATAGATTTGATGTAAAAGTGAGCCACCGTTGAGAAAGCCATATTTAGAAATTTCCTAGTTGCATCCAGTGGTTATACAGCTATTTAGATATTACAGAGATGCTCGGATAACATATCGTGGGTTGGGGAGACGTTGAGTGCGAGTGACCATACAAGGTGGTCTTTGGTCATCCAGCATTACTAAGTGGAATGGCTTAGGAAAGGAGGAGCTGGAGACAGAGTGAATCATATGAATGCCAGAGTGAATGCCAGATGAACCTGAAGCGCTATAAAAAGCCAAGGAATTGTCAAGAATGTTGAAACTAATTACGTTTTAAACATTGCAGACATTTCAGAGGATTAGTGTACCAATGTTCAGCCTAGGCAACTTGGGTAATTCGTAAGCTTGTCACTGACAGTAAGACTAAGCAAAATTGAACAAAAATATAATAATAAAAAACTTCTTTAAATAATTATCTTTAAATAAATAAAGGATGAAAGAGTAGTTAGTGCCAAACAATGCTGGTTTAAAGAAAATGGGCCTTTTAAAACTATTTTTCTTCCTTTGAGTCACAAATACGGGTGGCAGAAGTAGTAAAGTCATATTCTTAGAATTCTTAAGGCAGTTTGGTAATATATATCTTGATTTATAAACAGCAGTAGTACAATATCGGTGTAGCACTCCCTTAATTGAATTAAAATGTTTAGTGGTGTTCAAGTTCATCTTCAAGGAAGTAGTAAAATGTATTTCAGAGGAATCGGGCTGAATCATTTAGTGATGATTTTTTATTAATAATCTTATTTTTAATAATGAGAAAATGCGATAAAATGATAGCATCCGATTGTGTTGGTGATAAGTAATGAAACGAGGACAAAACTGTATGCTGAGATCTGTGTACACAGTGATTGTGTAGTAGTTAGATGTAAGCAAAACATGTACTTATATGCTTGCCTCTGGTTAAAAGTAAATCCTTAAATCTGTGAATAAAGAATGCAGGATATACTTATGTTAGTGTACTTACATTAATGAATGCAGGCTATAGTAGGGTATGCCATCTCAGAAAATAGGAAGTCTTCAAAAGATTGGGTATCATGATTTATACTAAAATGAATGGCGGTTTTCTCTACCTTGAGATTTATTAAGCAGGGTTGGGGAGCGGAACAGCTCAGTCTATTTGGGTATCAAAGGGGAAGGTTACGGACTGTTGTTATCACAGCTGGTAAATGCCTGTTGAGATAACACGCGTTTGATAACTTGAGCTATTTAAACAGGCAAACAAGAATATATCAATGACTTGGTATTGAAGCTAGGTAAATTTTCGTTAACACCATGATGCGTACTAGAAACCAGATGCACGTTTATAACACTGAGGGTAATAATCATTGAAACAAATTACTGTGGTTTTGGTGGCTTTTCTGTCCCTGCACTAGTTTTGATCAGCATTAGAGATAAATAGATAAATAAATAAATAAGAAGATGTGCTGAAGTTCAGGCGCAGCTATTAATCTGTCGGAAGATTTCGCATAATGCAGTCCAGTGTTTACTGTTACGTAGATTGTCCTTCGGCCCTTAAGATCTAGATAACTCAATAAATGCATCTTGTCAGCGATAATAGTGAAATAAGCCAGACATACGACGTATGTGTCATTTTTCTTTTCTTTCCTTTTTTAGATCTATTGTCTAGAATAGACTTGGATGAACTGATGAAAAAAGATGAGCCACCACTTGAATTCCCTGATACTCTGGAAGGATTTGAGTACGGTTTTAATGAAAGTGAGTTGTATATGCTTTGTAAAGACTGTACTTAGAATAACGTTAAGAGGTTATCAGAACTTTGATTATACCTTATAAATCCTTATTAGAATTTCATACTTTTCTCTTAAGAATAAAATTATAAGCCTTAGTGTAATAGACTTATAAATCTAAGTAATAATTTTTTGATTTCATAAAATTGTCAAAAATAATTCCTCTTTATACAGTAATGTAGGTTTATACTGTATGTACTTTTAGAGAGTCTTCGGCTTCTTGTTTTCTTTTACAGAGGTTAAAAGTAATTTTTTTTCTGTAGCGTTAAAAAGTAAGCTTAGAGTGGTCACTTATGTAAGTAACATTTTATTTAGTGACTTGTTTTTATTTATACAAAAGGAATTATTATTTGGATAATAGTTTATTCCAGCTCTTCCATTAATACCACTAGGAAAACACCTATATTCCATTTATATTGATGGAGGCATGAACAACGCGTTATACTTTTTATTCTTCTAGCACAGATCACGGTTTTGCATTGCAGCTAAGTTTTTGTAATGACTACAACTCATGCCAGCTACCTTAATGTATATATTAAATGAGTCAGTAGTATTTATAATTTCCAGTGCATACATTTTAAAATACAACAGAGAAGAAAGCTTCCGAGCTAAAATAATATCAGTCTCCAGGAAATGGCTTTTTCAAGATTATTTGAAACCTGTAGGACAAATGGGGATGTTTACAATCCTACTTCTTTCAGTGCCTGTTCTGTGAACAGAGGAACTTTAGTTTCTAAATCTGCCTGTCTTACATCTTCCACTTTTAAAGAAAAAAAGAGCTTTCCTTTAAATGATAGTCATTTATGCAACACTTAGCTTTTTAATACCCTGATGGCTTTCACAGGAAGGTACTTAGAGACTAAAAGTGTCATGAAAGTGATGCTCTTTCTTTGATGGGAGGGGTTCAGTTCTGTCACTTTTCAGCTCCTTATTTTTAGATCTGCACAGTGTCTACTGTCTTCCTTACTGACTTCAGAGTTAATGGTTCATATGTGGTTGATAAAAAGGGCTGAAATTTGAATTTTGGGGAATGATGTTTTAGAATGATGTTATTGAATATTCCATCACTAACCTCACAGGCTGAGTGATTTCCATAGAATGCAGCAAAACCTATTACTAGGCTACTGGTCAGCGTGCTGCCAGAGGTCTGCATTTTGCTTTTGTATGTTGAATTCAAATGTTCTGTCCGGCATTCC